GCGTTCAAAGCCACGCCCCTACATGATCGATAGGACGATTAGTGTGCTCTATGAACATTACCCTATCAACTGGGCTGGGCCCTATGTTTTTTAGAAGCCCAACATACACGCCTTGGGGTACTACAAACTAGTATTCTCTTGGCTTGAAGAAGGCTCAATCATACTGGACGTTGAAGGAAATCCTCTACATTATTCGCAAGAGAACACCCACAAGTATGAAGCCATTCTTCCAAATCGACCTACATATGGACTAGAGTACTACTACCTAGAGCAACCTCCTCCTCCAGCTCCATTCTCCATGTCGCAACCCAAAAATTTTCGATCTCACGACTAATGGTTTAGACATCCTTTTAAAGAGCTCATCAATTAAGGAATGGTCGGACACCAGACTAATCCTTAATTAATGGTTTTAAAAAATGAGTTCATGGAGTCGCCACCAATGTTTTACTCAAAACATTGGAAAAAGAAAAGATTTTTGAAAATCCAATAATGGCCTTGATAACTAGAATTGGGTTCGGGGGTCGATTACGTGTAGGAAAGGTATTAAGCACCCCTACAACGCCCTCAATTGGTACCCTATGATGAAGTTAACGTTATAAACAATAATAATGTAAATATTAAATCCCCTTTTATTAATAATTATTTACATGCCTAAAATTTAAATTATACGATTGACCCTAAAATGTCTACATGATTGCTTTTATTATAAACAATATTTATCAAAGATAAGAAATAAAAGAGAGAAGAAAATTAACTGAAATACCTCTTGAACAAACTCTATTAATCTTCAAATATGGAGACTTTAGGTGCTTTGTGGCAACCTTTCACACTACAATAAGCCTCACAAAATTCAAGAAATACAATAGGAAAGAGAGAGAAATTTCGAGCTATAGGGAGCTTTGGATGAAATTTTTGGAGTCCCTGAGAAATGAGCCCAAGCAGTCTATTTATAGACTTCAGAAAGGGTCCAGAACGGCCTGTTCCAAAATCGGAACGGCCAGTTCTAGATCTGGCCGTTGAGACTTATTTTTGTACCCCAGAACGACCCGTTCTGAAATCGGAACGGCCCGTTCCGGGCCACTAAAAAGTTGATTTGGGCTTTTGGGCCCGCTGATGTCCTATCCTTTTGCTTACATGCTTTGGGAGCTTCTTCCCTTCAAAAACAGAGGTCCATTTCCTTGTTTGTAAGCCCCCCGGACGAAATTGGGTGTCTACAGCTACCCCTCTTTACTTGTCCTTTGGAATAGCTGTGTTGCTTTTCCAAAGGCAAGTAGAGACGTAGACATTTTGTTCGGGTCTTCTTCTCGTCTCTGTGTTGATGCTTCTACGTTGCTTCCCTTGGACAGGTGTATTTTCTTGTATCTTCACCCTTTAGAGCAGTTGAGCATTGATTGCGTACTCTATTGGGTAACAAGGTTGACAAGTTGTACACCTGATCTTCAGTTTTCGAGTAGAAGCTCCATTGTTTCTCTTGTGATAGTGAAGTAAAAATTCGGATCTTCACTCTTGTTTTGACAATAGATACTTTCACGTTGTTTCCTTCGGGTAGACGATGTTCCCTATATCCTTGCTCCTTGGAGGAACTGAGTGTTGGATTGTATGCTGTGTTGGGTGTCAAGGATGGTAAACCGAAACATCTAGGCTTCAAGATCCATGTGAATGCCTCATGTCGCTTTCTGTGTCCCAATCTTCTCCTTTACTTCAATAGTGTAGATGCCCCCTACATCATTTCCTTCAAGTAGATGGTGTTTACCTGTATCCTTGTCCCTAAGAGCAATTGAGTGTTGGTTTATATGCTCTGTTGGGTGATAAGAATGGTAAACCGAAATATCTAGGATTTTGGTCTTGATGTATATGCTTCCTACTGCTTCTGCTTGTCTCATGGTAGTGTGTTTCTTTATTTGTAGCTTGTTAAAGAGGGAGTATATTCGGAGCTCAGCCTCTCCAAGCTGGACTGATATTTAGGGCTTCAGCCAGCCCGTAGGTGGGAGCTCGACGGCAATCCCGATTTTGACTTTGAAGAACTCGACGGTACCTTCATTGTCATTCACTGATTTGAGAGGCTTGACGGCGGCTCTCGATCAAGCTGTGCTGATTTTTAAGGCTTCAGCGGACCTATGGTGGGAGCTCGGCGGCATCCCGGTCTCGACTTCAAGGAACTCGGCGGTACCCTTGTTGTCGTTCAATGATTTGAGAGGCTCGACGGCGGCTCTCGATCAAGCTTGGCTAATTTTAAGGCATCAACCGACCTATGGTGGGAGCTCAGCGGCATCCCGGTCTCGACTTCAAGGAACTCGGCGGTACCCTTGTTGTCGTTCAATGATTTGAGAGGCTCGACGGCGGCTCTCAACCAAGTTGGGCAGATTTTAAGGCTTCAACAGACCTACGGTGGGAGCTCGGTGGCATCCCGGTTTTGACTTTGAGGAACTCGGCGGTACCCTCGTTGTCATTCATTGATTTGAGCGTCTCGATGGCGGTTCACAACTTGGATGGTTGTTGATATCCTTTGAAGGAGGACCTTTGAAATCTTGGGTGGATACTTGATGATGATTCCTTTTCAATTTGAGGTACTCGAAGGTACTCTTGTTGTTGACTTGTGATGGAAAACGCCCCAAGGAGGATGGGCAAGATGTACTTGATGTGCCCCTGTGTTGATGGGCGATAAATGGGTGATAGGGATTCTGGTGTTTCCCCTGCCATATGAGTATTATGATGCCTCTCCAGGCATTTTCTTGTGGTAGGTTTCCTTTTTTTTAATTGCATTTTTTTTTGTTTAGCTTCGGTGTTTTCATATTTGAAGCTTGCCTTTTTCTGGTATTTTTTCTTAAATGCTTCGGCTTTTTCAACATTTGTGAAGCTTTCCTTTTTCTCATGTTGTTTTTACTTTTTTTTTATTGTCATCATTGGTGGAGGGATCTAATCACCCCTTCGACGGCGGAAGCCCAGCAAGATCCACCTCCCCAGTTCCAATAACCTCGAAGGCCACCTCCCCTATCTCATGAGGGGCAGAGGTCCCCCGACCTCTCTCCCACCCCTCTTTCGTTTTCGGTTGATCTTCAAGCGGGAAACCTCCTCCTTTGGAGGCTCAACGGGCGGGGCAAAGCCGAGAGACTCTCAATGACGACAGCCTCCGAAGCCGTCAACTCCAAAGGGTTCACCCCGTGAAACCTCGACGGTTTAGGGCACCAGTAAAAGAGGAACTTTGGCAGTCCACCAAAGTAGAAATCCCCATCCTCCAAAGGGTCGACATCCACAAGGACTACCCGGAAAATCTCAGACTTGAAATTCTTATAAGATTGGGAGTAAAGAGTGAATAAACCCCCTTCTTTACTCCCGTTTAAAGAAAGAATGCCATACGGCGGAACGCCCAACTTCAGCTGGTAGAAATGAAGGAAAACGCGAAGGGACAACTCCAGCCCTAAGACCGCGCACAAGACCTGAAACGCCCTCAAAAAGCCCCAGCTATTGGGGTGCAGCTGACAAGGGGCCGCACTGATATAGTTCAAGAAGTCACACTCAAACTGAGTGAAAGGAAGACAAACGCCCAGGTCCCTGAAGAAACTCTGATAAACATAAAAGTGGGGGGGATCGGTCGACTTCCCCATGAACACACCCTCACCAGCC